CTGCGGTTGTCACCCTTTACTGAAACTTAAGTGCATCAGATATGTTCTGTTTGGTAGTGACCTCGTCGATGTCTATACATTCAAGTCTCAGTTGTTACTTAAGACACCTGACCGCAAAAAGGAGTTCACTCCCTCTCTTAGCTCTTCTGTTTACCCTCTGGTCTGATTAAGTTGCAGCAGCAACTCTACTTTCTGCGCTCTGCTTATCTTCTCTGATATGTCTCAAGTCGGGTTCGATCTTGACTTCTCGGAGCATATCCACGTAGAAGAGTTCCCCTTTAGCTGTTGTAACAATGGCGTCTGGTCTAATCTTCATATATCTTCCTTCTTTTTCTTCGCCCCCCTCTTCGCGTCCTATGGTGGGTGTTGGCCGCCCTCAACTAGCTGTTTCGTAGCTCTCGGTGTGGTGACAACATTACGGCGTTTGGCGACCGGCGCCTCCGTGCCCCCGAGCTGCTTTCGCTGGGCGCAATCACGCACCTAGCCAACTCCGTGCATTCTCTGCGTCCCGTTTGCTTTCAGCAGAAGCTGCTTATTTTCCCGCTGCGTTGGCAGGCGTTCTGTTCGCCGAAATCGTTGGCCTGACCCTTAATGCCTGTTGGCGTTTGGTTCTTCTTTAAAAGTTTGCATTTTTATTGGGCCCCAATTGAGAAGCCGTTTTCCAATTGGTTATTTATACCATGCGACGGCGAAGAGGATGTCACTCGTTCTACTTAGGTAACGAAATACTGCCACCACCAGCTCTATCGCGTCAAGTCGTATACATTGTCAGGTATGCCATAACCAAAACTTTACCGCTCTCAGCCTTGATACCTGCCCATAGACTTACACCACAAATCTTTCTCCCCCGCTGCCATTCACTTACTGGGAGTGGGGAGCAACTACTCAAAGGAAGGTGCCTACTCGTTCTATCGCCGAAGATTCACAGGGTTGTGGGGTCTTTTCAGTCGCCTCTCCTGCTCTACCGCTCTCGGGGAATGGTTGGTGAGTATTCGCAGCCAGCCCACAAAAATGTACCTGAAGGTACATATAAGCGAATTACTATCCGCCACCCGCGATCCCCACAATAGCCGCAACTCAGCCCTCTGTCTGTGTGTGTGTACATGCTTGTTGTGAACAATCTCCCAATCACGAGAAATCCACAAGTTCGAAGAAATGCTTACACAATAAAACACCTTCTTTGTGACTGTCTTAACACTTGGCCTATTAGAAAAATCTCATTCAGAAATACTAATCCTATGCCCATCCTAAAATTAAGTACAGAATGCACTATCAATTGAATGTATTGCTTTATTAAAGCTACTCTGAACTCAATATCTAATTCGAGAGCCTTAACGTACTTAATGCGTGTTCGGCCATAGTGACCAAATACGCTAAGAATCTCCAATAAAAAGTCAATGGTCGTCCGTTCAAATCTGAAGTGCGTTAATATTTTCAGTAAAACCGATAACCTCATACGCCACTGTTTTCATCCTTAGAAGCATATTGTTGCAAATTGTCTACATTCCTGTTTCATTTAATTTCAAAATTGAAAGGGTTGCGACGATTATATTATAAATTGTGTCTCTAACTAAATTAGTTGTAATAATAATAATATAACGACAACAATTATGTCTGTTGTAAATTTAGAAAATCGCACAAGACCACAAATGAACAAGCCTTGAGGCAAAGAGAAACCACTTGCTTTCAAAAGCATCAAAACTTTTGCTTTTTGCTCATTATTCTTTAAACTACATCAAATAGAATGATAATAATTTTCATTGATATTATGCGGGTAATCCTTTATAATCTACACAAGAAAAAAGGTCGCGCCCCCTAATATTGTAGAGTATTGAAATTTCATTTCCATTTTTTCGTTTCATTTTTTTTTAGATTTTTCGACGACAGAGATAGTGAGTGTAAAATATTCGGCCAAACCCAAAGATAATTTTCTTATTTCTTTATTTCATAACTTTAATTCATTTAGAAACAGTAATATGAAACTTTTATTATATTAGTTTGGGGAAAAAGAAATCCATTATTTTTATATGAACTTCAGGACTTTATTTAACATGCTTCGGATTATCCGATTTGGGTCAAATATGCACCGTTTTGGTGTATGATTTGTTGCCATTTTAAAGGTAACTTCAAAATGCCTCTCTCATAGAAGTCCTGGTCTCTATTTGCAAAAAACTCTAGTAGTCGATTTTCACAATCCTCCCTAGATTCCAATTTTTTATCATTAAAGAAATTTTGCAATGCAAGAAAAAGATGATAATCGC